CCCAACATTTTGGCACTAGGGTCCAGTTTTGTGGCAGACAATTTTTCTACAGGACTGGGAGGTGGGGGGATGGTTTGGGATAAAACCGTTCCCCCTCGGATGATCAGGCATTAGTTAGATTCTCATAAGAAGCATGCAACCTAGGTCAGGTGTGGTGGCTCATGCCTGTAATCCCAGGACTTTGGGAGGCTGAGGTGGGAGGATCACTTGAGGTCAGGAGTTCAAGGTCAGCCTGGCCAACATGGTGAAACCCCATCTCTACTAAAAATACAAAAATTAGCCACATGTGGTGGTGCACACCTGTAGTCCCAGCTACTTGGGAGGCTGAGGCATGAAAATCGCTTGAGCCTGGGAGGCGGAGTTTGCAGTGAGCCGAGATTACACTACTGCACTCCAGCTGGGGCAACACAGTGAGACTTTGTCTGAAAAAAAAGAAAAAAAAAAAAAGAAAGAAAGAAAAAGGGGGAGTGGGGTGGCACAGTGGCTCACGCCTGTAATCCCAACACTTTGGGAGGTTGAGGTGGGTGGATGACCCAAGGGCAGGAGTTCAATACCAGCCTGACTAACATTGTGAAACCCCATCTCTACTAAAAATACAAAATTAGCCAGGTGTGGGGGCGAGCGCCTGTAATCCCCGCTACCGGGGAGGCTGAGGCAGAAGAACTGCTTGAACCTGGGAGGCGGAGGTTGCAGTGAGCCGAGATCACGCCACTGCACTCCAGCCTAGAAGAAAGACTGAGACTGTCTCAGGAAAAAAAAAAAAAAAAGGAATCATATATTTGATTATTATGTTGGAATTGTTATTTTGAGACCGTTTTGAGGGGTTGGCTCAGGGCTCATTAATTGCTAGCTGTTATCATTATGTTATTTTTCAAAGGCCATTGCAAATACTTCCTTCTTTAGGAAGCCTTCCTGAACGATATCTTAAGGACTAATGACTGAAAGATGCTCTTCCTCCTTTGATCCCCAAAGTAGTAACTACACCTATCATGGCTTTTCTGGCTTCTTGCCTTGGGATAGAGATGCCTGAGACCCCATTATCCCTAAATTCAAAGAAGCTGTAAATGCCTTTAAGGCAAAAAGGACATGGACATCCCCCAAGGGTCTGAAGTGCAACCCATTCTGGTGTATTTAATGGGTATCTTTTTGTTTCTATGTGTCTTTGCAAGTCTGTGTTGTTTGATGTAAATGCATTTGTAATATTTTTATTGATATTGTCATCTAGGTCCTATTTGGTTTGGTTATTTACTTTTTCTGCCTAGCACTAGGTGTTTAAATCCATGTTGCCACGAATACATGGGGTCCCTTGCTTTGAGTGCTGCACAGCGTCACATTTTATCTATCCGCTCTCACAAGAAAGGGCGCTTAGATTGTCTCCAACTCCTAGCAACCATAGCAACACAGCAACCAACATCCTCCTACATGTCCCTCTATGGGCCTGCAAGAGAATTTCAGAGATCTATATCAAGGAGCTGGATTTTAGGGTTCTCCCATAATTTCCCTCATTACTGCCAGACTGTTTTCTAGATTGACAGCCACAGGCTACTCACGCCAGCTCGACAGCTCCATATTCTCCACCGACATTTGGCATTATTCAACTTTCTAATTTTTGCCAGTCTTAATGGGTGTAAGTGATATCTCATTGTCATCTTTCTGAACACTGAAAAATCTCTTCATATGCTTGCAGAGCTGCTGAGGTTGTGGTTCCTTAAATGCCAGCTCACATCCTGGGGTTTGACTTTCTGCGCCTGAGGCGGCGGGCCCAAGGCTCATCCCTCCGCCCCGAGTCCTGAGAGGCGCGAGGAGAGTGAGCCTGCTAGATGCCTTGTGCGCATCTATCTCCAGGGCTGGGGAGGCTGGGCGAACTCCTGGGGAGGAGACTGGGTCAGGGGCCCCTGCGGAACTCGGCGTGGTCCCGACCCGCCGGCTTCGGGCGCGGAGCAGTGGGCAGGTTAAGGGAGCAGGAGGAGGGACCTGCATCCTGGTCCGGAACTGGGGTGGCCGCTGCATCTGCGTTCCTAGAAGGCGGGGCGTGGGATCTGGCGGAGCGACCGCCCCCTCCTCTCGGCTCTCCGGACCCAGCCCCAGCGGACGCGCACCTCGCACCCGGGCGCCAGCGCGCGCAGGGGCTGCGGAACGGCGGGATGCAGGAGGACCTGGCGTGGGAGACCGACGGCCGTGAGTTAGCCTGGCTGGGGGACGGGGAGGGGGGGCCGAGGCCGAGAGGACCCCCGCATCCTTTTGGGGAGGGTCAGGGGTGACGTTGTTGCCCTCCGAACGGCCACCTCTGACTTGGGTGTCTGTGTGGCTCCGAGCGGAATGGTTACCGGTCCGCGCAGCGGGCCAAGGGGACCTTGCCCGTGCATCTGGGACACGGGGGCGCCACCCGCCAGGTGAGCGGGGAGCAGCGGCTGAGAGGTTAGCTACAAATAATAAAGGTAATAGCGATCCTTGACTGCGTGCTGTACTTTGTGTGCCAGGCCTTGACCCAGGAGAGGCACGTCATTTGATCTTCGCTTCAGCCATTTGGGTAGGACATTACGTTATCTTCATTTTGCAGATGAGAAACTGAGGTAGAGGGTGTTCAAATGAGTTGTTCAAGGTCACGCAGCCATTGGGTGGTAGAAGTGCTGAAAGCCCTAGCTCCCCCGGAATGCTGGGCTGGATAGCGAGTGGAGACCGCATCGGATGGGGCACGCAGTCAGAGGGGAGGAGCCTGACTGGCCACAGGTGGGATAGGGGCAACTCTAAGCCTCCCTCAAGGAGTGCGCCCAGTGCCAGGGCCTCTAGGCCGGGCAGCAGCGTCTGTGTGGGCATCAGCTGGCCTGGGGCAGCTTTGGCTGCACTGTCTGGGAGAGGGGAGAGAAGGATTGTGTCGGTGTCTGCACTGTGAGTCCTTGATCCTGCAGCCTGGCGGAATCCCGACAGCTGAATCCGACAGCTGCCGGACAGCTGCCCCGGGGCTCTCCCTCAAATGCGCATAGTGCAGCTCACTGGATTCCTTTGAGACCTATAGTGTCCAAAATGCTGGCACACTGCATCTACTCAGCTGAGGAATGTGTTGGGGGTGGGAATGCTCAATCAAGATGCTAATTATTTCAGAGTAGGTACATGATTCTGTCTGGGGTGGAGGATCACTTGAGGGGGCCTGCGAAGAATGTGTAGCAATGGAGCATTGGTGTGTGTGGCAGAGAATTCTGGGCAGAGGACCCAGCATGGGCAAAGGCTCAGACAGCTCAGTGGGTATTGGATGTGGGAGGTGGATGGAAGAGATGAGACGGAACTTGATTTCATTCTAACTTAACCTTCTGTGGCCTGGCAGTAGGTAGTGTCTACTGGCTTCCCTCTGGGACTCCTGGCTGTTTGCAAATACAAACCAGGCCAATCGCCCTAAGCTGCAGATAAGACACAGGGTGCCAGTCAGGAAGGGACCTATACAGATCTCTTTCTTCACCCTCCCCCAATTTTACAATGGAAGAAACAGACCTACAAGGGGGATGTGGCTAGCCCAGGATGCTGCTGCTAGAAAGTGGTAGGGCAAGTACTAGAACCCAGGCTGCTGTAAGCTCACACCTGAAGAGGCAGCTCTCTTTGGCTACCAGAATTTGACCCTTCGCCTTGGAGGAATAATAGTGATGATGGTGATGGTGGTGGTGGTATGGTCATTATGTGCCAGATACTGTGCCAGGGGGCTTTCATATCTCGATTCTAATCATTATATTAACCTTGTAAGGAAGCTCACGCTCCCGTTTTGCAGATGAGGAAACTGCCTAACACAGCTAGGAAGTGGTTCACCCAGAGTTGAACCCAGGACTGCGTGATTGCCTCCCGGGGTAGCACCTCTGAGGTCCACAGGTTGTATCCATGAGGCCCCAGAAAGCTCAAGATCCTCTTTCACATCTGGAGAAGTCTGTGTGGAATTTGTCTAGAAAAGCAAACTGCATGGCAGGCCTGTCTCTCACCTCAGTGAATCTTAGCCTTCCCTACCAAGACACTCATCACCTGTCCCTGGATACACAAAGGGGCTGGGTTCAGACATTCATACTGGACCAAACATGAAAGCTGTGGGGTCACTTGCCCTGCAGTGACTATGCAAAGGGCCAGCAAATATTTGTCTGTGTTAGTATGTGTGAGCACTTTGGGAGAGGGGACAGGCATCTATTCGTATGGGGATTGTTGGTATCACTCATACAAGCAGATATTTTTTTTTGTTTCTGTTTTCTTTTTTCTTTTTTGTTTTTTTTGAGACAGAATCTCGCTCTGTCGCCCAGGCTGGAGTGCAGTGGCGCAATCTCAGCTCACTGCAACCTCCGCCTCCCGGGTTGAAGCAATTCTCCTGCCTCAGCCTCCTGAGTAGCTGGGACTACAGGTGTGCACCACCATGCCCAACTAATTTTTGTGTTTTTAGTAGAGACCGGGTTTCACCGTGTTGGCCAGGATGGTCTTGATCTGCTGACCTCGTGATCCATCCACCTCAGCCTCCCAAAGAGCTGGGATTACAGGTGTGAGCCACCACGCCCGGCCTGTTTGTGTTTTCTTTTTAGAGACAGGGTCTCACTCTGTTGCCCAGGCTGGAGTGCAGAGGTACAATTATAGTTCATTGGCAGCCTCAAACTCCCGGGCTCAAGCAATCTTCTTGCCTTAGCCTCCTGAGTAGCTGGCACTACAGGCATGTGCCACCACACCTGGCTAATTTTTTTAAAAACTTTTTTGTAGAGATGGGGGTTTTGCTTTGTAGCCCAGGCTGGTCTCGAACTCCTGGCTTCAAGCCATCCTCCTGCTTTGACCTCCCAAACTGCTGGGATAGCACGCATGAGCCACCATGCCTGGCTTAGAAGCAGAGTTTTGTGGGTTCCTACTGTGCCCACCTTTGGGCCTGCTGTGAGCTGTGGGTGGATCAGGAAGGGTCAAGTGTGGCCAGGGCCTCCAAAATGCTTGGAGACTAGACATCCTCACAATTAAGAGCCGTCTGGATGACGGCAGCAAGGGGCTCCGGTAGGGATCATCTGGCCCTGGGTCCTCCTGGCTCAGACGCTAACCTGCAGGCTGACCCTGAGCCCACAGCTGTGTGTGACAGGGGTGGGCAGGGGGAGCTCTGAGGTTCCCTTTAATCTGAGACTCTGTGCTAAAGGTGCAGTGACGAGGGTGAGAGGAGCAGAGAGAAGAGAGAGACCACAGAGAAGGAAAATCGAGGTGGCCTCAGCGTGGGCAGGTGAAAGCTGGTTAGGATTTGGGCAAGAGGGGTTGGAAGAGGCTGGGTGCTGTGGCTCACACCCGTAATCCCAGCACTTTGGGAGGCCGAGGCAGGCTGATCACTTGAGGTCAGGAGTTGGGGACCAGCCCAGCCAACCTGGTGAAACCCTGTCTCTACCAAATACACAAAAATTAACCAGGTGTGGTAGCACACACTTGTAATCCCAGCTACTGAGGAGGCTGAGGTGGGAGAATCGCTTGAACCTGGGAGGCGGAGGTTGCAGTGAGACAAGATCATGCCACTGCACTCCAGTCTGGGCAACAGAGGAGTTGGAAGAAGGGGTGGAGGAGCAAGGAGATGGAAGGTACAGGAGTGGGGTAAATGTGCTTCTGGCCTCACCCGGCGCTGGCACGAAATAGGTGGCTCAGTAAATCCTGGCTGTTTTCTACACTAGACTGAAAAGGTGGTTACTGACTCCAGAGGGAGTTAATTTCATTTCCTTCCCCAAGAGCAGCTCTTGGGAGGGTACGTGAAACTTGGATAATGAGGCACACATTTAGGCTGCTGCAAATGGCTTTGCCCTGCTCTTCCGTCTTCGGGGTTTCACCACGTCCTGGTTGCGTGGCTGTGGGATGAGTTAATGAAGAAGAGCAGCCTGTCTAGGGAGGACCCTGACCTTGAGAGGGAAGAGGGCTGTGCCGCTCTGCCCCCATTCCTAGCTGAAAGACCCCTGCCCCAGCAATGTCCAGGAGTGGGAACAGGCTGTTTCCCTCTGGTGTCTGCAGTGTGGGGGATCCTCCCCCTCATCCTGCACCCCATTTTCTCCCCATAGTGCTTCCTCTGGAGAGGCAGCTCCACGAGGCCGCCCGCCAGAACAACGTCAGCAGGATGCAGGAGCTGATTGGGAGGAGGGTTAACACCAGGGCCAGAAACCACGTGCGTAATGAGCTTCTCTGAATCGGGGCACCTGGGATAGTGTCATGATAATGCCAGTACACAGGGGGAACAGTTCATCTGAGCTACAGGCAGGTGCATCTGCATGTGTTAACTTGGAGGGAGGCTCAGGCTCTGTCCTCATGGCCTGCATTGTCTCGAGGAATCTAAGGAATCTAAGGAATCTAAGGCTTACAGTGGTTGGACCCCCACCCAAGGTCAGGGTCAGGATTCCAAGCCAGGCTTGGCAATTCCAGAGGTCAAACTCTTAACTTCTGGGACCCATCTGAGAAGTTAGAGCCAGGAGGGCTAGGGTCAAAGGTCAGCAGCCAGAAGCTGGGAGATGGGCAAAAGAGGAGGACAGACATTACACAAAGCATCCCACAAACAATTCATTCTCTCTGTGATAAGTTGTCGTAACAGCGTGTGCAGGAGGGTCGGGAAAAGCCTCCCAAGGAGGTGGCTTTTTTTATTTTTTCTTTGAGACAGGACCTCACATCACCCAGGCTGGAGCGCAGTGGAACAATCACAGCTCACTGCAGCCTTGACCTTCCTGGGCTCAGTTGATCCTCCCACCTCAGCCTCCTGAGTAGCTGAGACTACAGGCACGCACCACCATGCCAGGCTAATTTTGTATTTTTTCTAGAGATAGGGGTCTTGCTATGTTGCCCAGGCTGGTCTCAAACTCCTGGACTCAAGCTACCCTCCCACCTCAGCCTCCCAAAGTGCTGGGATTACAGGCGTGGGCCACCTCACCCTCCCGGAAGTGGCATTTTTGAGGAGCCAGGTGAAGGACAGTATTCTAGGCAGAGAGAACAGTATGGGCAGAAACCCTGAGGAAGGAAGGAGCAGCTGGGCTCCAGAGAGGGGATGTGGCTTGCCTGAGACCACGCAGAAAACTAGTGCTTCCTTTCATTGTCCCCTCGTAAGCTGAAAACTACAGAGGGGAGAAGTGGGCACAGGGGCCACAGGCCAGCTTCCCCCAGGCCTGCTTGGATGGCATTTTGAACTGCCAGGGTGGTCTGAGAATGAGATGGTGCATCAGGCCCCTTCAGCCCCATTCTGAGAGAAGGAAGGGGACAGAACCCAGGGACTCCAGTGCCTCTCAGGGACTTGGAGGATAATCCTTGGCCACATGGGCTTTCCAGCAGGGGCAACAGCAGGAAAAGGCCTAGAGGTGGGAAGCTGCTTGGCATTTCTGAGAAGCAGGGGTGGGCAGCGCCAGACCATGCAGCGCCTCATCATCTCCAGGGTCAGGAGTTTATTCTGAGAGCCATGAGAAATTAAAGAGTTTTAGATGGGGACAGATGGGTCCAGTCATTTTACTATGTTGGCTTTGGTTGCCATGCAGGAGAGGAGCATGTGGCAGAACGGGGGGGACCAGAGCCAGCAAAGACCCTTCCAGCCTGCAGACCAGCTGTCCTGGCGGAGGGTGTGGGAGGTGGTCCAGGCAGCCAGGTGGCAGCAGCACCTGACAAGTGTCATCTCCCTCCGGGCAGGTGGGCAGGGTGGCCTTGCACTGGGCTGCAGGTGCGGGACACGAGCAGGCTGTGCGTCTGCTTCTGGAGCACGAGGCTGCTGTGGACGAGGAGGATGCGGTAGGGGCCCTCACAGAGGCACGTCTGTGTGTGCGTGTCTGTCTGTCTGTCTGTCTGTCTCAGGGTGGTGGGGGGCACTGGAGATCTCTCTGGGTCTATGAGCCGGTTGCTGAGATTGCTGCTAATATGCAGACATTCAGGTGCAGAGTGGCAGGGAGTCAAAGGCTTCAGGTGCCAGGGACACTGCACTGGTTCCATGTTCCTCCTATACAGTAATGAAGAGCTCTCCACTTTCAAGGGTCTTTCAGTTCTCAGAGAGCCTTTTCAGTCCCTCATGAAAGCATGTGAACAGGGAGAGGGCTGTAGAACAGATAATTGGGTGGATTGATAGAGGCCTGATTAGCAAAAGCACCAGGAGGAAGGTCTCTCATGATATGCCACAGGGCTCTGCCCCGGCTAACGCTTCAATCAAAGTCTTGGATAAAGACTAACAGTCTTAGTTAAACAATTGGCAGGCAGTGTGTTGCTGAGAGAGAGCACTGATGAGTAACGGGGTCTGTAAAATTATCTCTACGGGTTTGGGAAAAAGGCTGAATCTAATAATGACATTTGAAAGGGATACTCTTATGGCTTTGTCTACATTTAAATTTTAAAAAGTGCCTGGGCGCGATGACTCATGCCTGTAATCTCGGTACTTTGGGAGGCCAAGCGGGTAGATCACTTGAGCCCAGGAGTTTGAGACGAGCCTGGGCAACATGGCGAAACTCCGTCTCTACCAAAAAATACAAAAATTAGCCAGTCTTATAAACTGGTGTCTAAATAAATAAATAGGTAAAAATTTTAAAATAAAACATAAAACCGTAAACTTCCCTGCAGCGACTTAGTTGTCCATGAAAACAATTTTCTTTGTTCCGGCTTCTCTCTGCTCCCAGGCCCTGCTGTGTGGGGGTTGATTACTAGTTGGGGTTGAAGTGAGGCAGCAACCCCTACCTCCCCATTCCCCAATCCTGTCTCTTCCCTGTACCTGCTTAGGCCTCATTTAGGGATGCGTTTAGGAGCAGAAGGTCTAGGATCCTTAGTCTGAGCTCCCTGGTGAAACACTAGAGGCTCTTGCATCAACTCTTTCTACCCACAAAGACCCCCACTATCACCACTATGCTGTCACTTGTTCCT